GACAGTGAGAGCTTTTTAACATTGCCTAGACATGATACAGTGACAGTGAGAGCTTTTTAACATTGCTTTTTAACGTCATATCACAATGAGATTGATACTAAATCATACTTGTTCTTCATTTCACAGACTGTTGAAAAGGACTTTGACAAGTTTTGGTAGAATTACAGATGAATGTCTAACAAGAAAATACAGCGTGTGAGGATGACAACATGGAACTGTAAAGTATCATTACAGACACTCATTTATTCTTGCTATATGACGGTTAATCTTAAAACCCATCCATGGGTGGGATTAACCTGATACATTGCGTGCCTGCATCGAGTAAATGAAACGTGAATGTCATGTCATATTTTAAAAGTTCACTGTTGGTTTTTCACATGGTTGTCAAGTTGGTACCAATATTGATACCTGACATGTAATTATATATTCATGTTTAATGGGGAATAAAAAAAGTATTTGATATATAATCAGTATAAGATGGTTTGACAGTTCAAGTATAAGATTTTGTTTTTCGCTAATTGGGAGGTAATTTTTTTTTAGTCATTCCTGATAATGTATTCATAACCACGATAGTGATGCTGTAGCATTCATTGCCACACACTATAGTGAAATCTAACCCTGTACAAATACATAATTGTTGAAATATTTTATCTGTACGCTGCAAGATGGAAAGGGATTGTGAAAGAAGTTTAATGTAGTTTTTAGTGTGGTGATCTAAGTTTAGATAGTACCAGCATGCCAACTTGCCAATGACATAACTACAATAAATTTCGAATACAAATTTCAAACTAACTACATGTGAACGCAAATACCACTAAGATCTTGTTGAGTTTTATTTATTTGATTCTCGTCAGCTTCATTCTCGATATATGTAACCATGGTGTTTGGTGCAGCAGCATTTGCAGCTACTCGTGATTACTTGTACAGTAATGTCAAGTGATCATGTGACTTAAAACAGTACCACACTGAGATGTTAGTGTCAATCAAGGCGGCACTGATAATTCAACATGTCTCAACTCTGTAATGCAGCTAGTAATGTTAGTGAGGTACATGTATGGATGAATGATGACTTTGTGCAATTTTTTTAAAAATGTATTTAGTGGTTGCTCATGAATCATCTCGTCAGACAACATTACTGGTAGAATACAGATTTCAAAAAGAGGTGTTCTTCTGAAAATATGTTGCATCATGAAAATACAGATAGTAGAACCAAAGACATACAGTGCGTTTCAGTGTGTGGCTGTGCCAGCTACAATTAAAAGTTTGATTATGCAATGAGACAAACTTCTGTTTGTCAAATCATTTGTTTTTAAAATGTACATCTAACATTGAACTTTTCATGAGCTCAGGTTTGAAAGCAATTTTATTATCATTACATGAATGTAAAAAAAAAAGCAGTAAGAATCCCATGTTTTTAGAAATTAATTGGTTTATTCTGAGTGCAATTAATATAGTATTGAATGGCAGGTGACGGGTCCGATTAGGAGGAAATCACTATGGAAACCAGGATCTGTACTTATTTTATAATTATTCTTGAGAGATGTGTAACATTTCCTTTCTTACTGAATTTAAAATGAATTGTGTAAGACTTGAGTCTGGGTATTTGTTTGTAGCATGTGTCTGCTGTAGTGAAAGTATTCATTTTTTTCTGTTAAAAAAAACACACATTTAAATAGACATATACGGTAAGTTTGATAGTGTTGTGAAATTCACAATACAAGGTAAATACTGGAAGCAAGATCACAAACAGAAATCTGCATCCAATCTGGAAGCTATAGCCGACTGTTGGCTATTTTGAATTATATCTTAAAGTTTTGTCTCGCGACGTTGGTACACACTCGTGACAATTTCCGTTAACCTGCAGTCATATTTGACACAAAATACACTGAAAAATATTTCAAGATTTTAATTTGTATTTATTGACACTTTCATAAATGTTTAAATTGTACATAAAAGAATTACATAAGCCAAACAAAATATGAATACATATTAAATTATACAAAAACTAGGCTTGAATCAGTTGCACGAAATATATTTTTTAAAAGTTTAGTAAATTTTTTTTTTTCAAGTTTCAAAATATTTATTCTATTATATATAAACAATTATCAAATTATCCTCCACACTTCTATGCATTTAATAGCACTAGACTCGCAATATGTACATGATGGTAGGTTATATTTACATTCTGACGTGTTTTCAAATTAAAATGTAGTTACGGTATGCAGTGTAGTGATCTTATACTATAAACTTTTTGTAAGATAAATTTCATAAGTCCAGGAAAATCACAACAATTTTGCAGCAGTGTGAACTTGTTTTCTGTAGTCTTGAGACCAAGACTCTGGCACTTTTTGCAATATCAGTAAATTGAGAAGAATTTACAACAGCAAAAAAAGGATTAGTTAAACAGGCAATATTTAAACTTCTGGTAATGGTTCTTCAGGTTCAATAATGAGTCCTAACTCTTCCAAGAATTTCTTTTCCATCTCTTCATAAGCATCAAATGCAAACTTCATTTTCATGTCGATTTCAGCCTGATCTGGAATTTGGGGTTTGGCCTGAAATAAACAGCACAATATGTGACTTTAAAATCTTACCGGTAATCCTTGCTCAATCAACTACTGATGGCAGTTTACAGGACATTTATACGCTATTTTAACAGCATTCCAGGTGAAACACAAGTGGTAGAGTATTTTACTCAACAATAACTTTGTGAAGTATACAAACACTTAGAAAAGCTAGAGTCTGGAAATAACATAATTTTGGGAAGAACACATCACAAATACTGTGTTGCTATAGTTGATTATTGTAGTGTGCCCAGATGTTCGACAGTTGGGTATACAATATCTTGTAATGTCATTGGATAAAAAAAAAAATCGCTGTACAATACTGATAACAGCAACTTAGTGACATCGTCCTTTAGTAAAGTGTATTATTTTTAATTAGTACTTACAGCTTTCCTCGCTGCTTCATCTGCATCTATTCTTCTCTTGTCTAAAATTCTAAACTGTCGTCTTTCTTCAACAAATTCCAGTCTTTTAACTTCTCTATCGAAGTAGTTAGACACGCTTGTTACCTATTTTAATGTAAACAGAGATGTTGCGTCATGCTTTTCAATTGATTATAGAACTTCACTAAATGTGATGGGAGGGGGGGGGTGCATATTTTTCGCGAGTATGAGAGAAATTTTGTAACAAGGAAAACTTTGAGTTCTGTAGACACAGTCACGGTAGTGAGAATTAAACTAATAACGCTAACCCATTTCTACCATAGAGGGCATAGTTCAGTAAAAGTGTTATAGGATTTATAAATGTAAGTAATACCTCATTGGTTGATGCGTGACGTAATGTCCATGGTATTTCCAGGATGTGTAATGTACCAACACCGTCGGCGATGGCTAAAAGATGTTGCTTATCTACAATAGAATCGTAATATAGATTGTTATAAACTGATCGGCACATTTTACCTTGTGTAAAAAAGAAATGATACACTGTAACCAACAATCTGATAAATATTAGTAATATTGTGTGTATGTACATGTCATCATAAATCACAGTGCTTGTTGACCGCCAGGCAATTCACCTTTCTGCACATCATTCTGACCAATAGCACGGCAGTAGCTCATCTCAAACTTATACTTGTTGTTGCTGGCCAATAGTAAATATAAAGTCTGAAATCGCATTTCAACAACTTCAATATATACTGCTTAGGTAGAAAATGCCACGAGAAACTGATTATAAGTCAAAAACATTTTGCAAAACATATTTATAACAGTAAACAGTGTGTAGACCAGCACACATTGTCGGACTTGAAATGGTATTCTAAATAAAAAAATCTTTGATTGTGGAAGGGTGAATTTTGTTAGGGGGTCACAAAGTTAGTATAATAAAGAAATGTAAATATGATTTTCAAACGTAGTGGGCCAAAAAAGAATTGATTGCCATACTGCAGTACATCTGAGCAATGTATGGTCTCGTGCCTGGGATAAAAATATTACATAAAGAAAGTAAATCAATGACCATGCAATCAAGTGAAGCAAACAGTGATGTTTGATGATCGAGATGGAATGCATACTCAAATCAAAGAAAGCTTAGAAAGAACTCCCATGTGCTGAGAGTATTGGAGACACATTAAATATAATTTGAAATTACTTAGCTAAAAACTAATTATGCAAATCAGAAAATTAATATGAATATGTAAAACTAATGAGGTCTGCGCAATGTAACAAAAAATCTATGTACCAAGTTTAATTGAAATGTGATTAGAACCAAAAAATTATGAATTATTATGCTAATTAGGGAATTAATATAAGATTTTTATCCCAAACTAATTAGGTTTGTACATTGTCCTAGAGCATCTTTGTACTAAGTTTCATTGAAATGGAATAATTAGTACTTTAGATATCAGTGTGAAAGCTTAAAGTTGGTTAATTATGCAAATTAGGTAATTAATATGTACAGATTTTAACCCACAATTATCCAGGTCTGTCTATTGTCCTACAGCATCCATGTACAAACATTCATTGATATGTGATGATTAGTACCTGAGATATCAGTGTGAAAGTTGGAAATTGGTTAATTATGCAAATTAGGGGATTGATATACACAAATATTTACAGAAAACTAATTGTGTCTGCATAATTCTAGATTCATTGAAATGTGATGATTAGTACTTTAGATATCAGTAGAAAAGCTGAAAATTAATTATGCAAATTAGGTAATTAATATGCACAATTATTTACCCTAAAACTAATCAGGTCTCTGCATAGTCCTAAAGGATCTATGTACCAAGTTTCATTGAAATGCGATGATTAGTACTAGAGATACCCGTGGAAAAGCTGAAAATTAACTAATTATGCAAATTAGGTGATTAATATGCACAAATATTTATCCGAAACAATCAATCTCTGCATAGTCCTTGAGTATGTAAGTACCAAGTTTCATTGAAATGTAATGCTCACTACTTATATCAAAAGCTGAAAATTAATTAATTATGCAAATTAGGTAATTATATGCACAATTATTTACCCTAAAACTAATCAGGCCTCTGCATAGTCCTAAAGGATCTATGTGCCAAGTTTCATTGAAATGCAATGATTAGTACTTGAGATACCCGTGGAAAAGCTGAAAATTAACTAATTATGCAAATTAGGTGATTAATATGCACAAATATTTATCCGAAACAATCACTCTCTGCATAGTCCTCGAGTATGTAAGTACCAAGTTTCAATGAAATGTAATGCTCACTACTTATATCAAAAGCTGAAAATTAATTAATTATGCAAATTAGGTAATTATATGTACTGATATTACCATAAAAACTATCAGGTCCGTGCATATGACATCTATGTAGCAAGTTTCATTGAAATGTGATGATTAGTACTTGAGATATCAGTGGAAAAACCGAAAATTGACTAATCATTATGCAAATTAGGTAATTAGTATCCACAGATTACTACCAAAAACTAATCAAAACCTAGCATTAGTTCAGAGCATCTATGTACAAAGTTTCATCAAAATCCAATGAATGGTTGTGGAACAGTCATGGAACCACTAAAAAATAGCTAATTATCATGCAAATTAGGTAATTAATATGCACGGATTTTTACCAAAAACTAATCAAATCTGCGCATATGTTCAGAGCATCTATGTACCAAGTTTCATCAAAATCCAATGAGTGGTTCTTTAGATATCAGTGGAACAGTCATAGAACAGCTAAAAATTAGCTAATTATCATGCAAATTAGGTAATTAGCGAGCATGGATTTTTACCAAAACCTAATCAAATCTGTGTATTGGCCCAGAGCATCTATGCACCAAGTTTCATCAAAAACCGATGTATGGTTCTTGAGATAGCAGTGGAACAGTCGGCCACACATACACACATACACACACACTAACTGCAAAGACTCCCATTATGTGCTTCGCACATGGGAGTCAAAAATTATTGATAATTGATATTTCATCAGTAATACAGCAATGAGCAGAAAATTGTTAGCCAGGAAATGCTGTTATAATTACTGTACAAACTTGACAGAATTCTCAGTGATATGCAAGGCCTAGTACATGTATAAAGTGCACTTACTAATACAATGTCAAATAAGGTCATTCACATGCTACACAGACCACAGTATGCCTTCCCTGTATTCATCTATATTTGACGACTGTATTTCAGATGTAAACACAAACAGTGTGGTGTATTGCTACGTATTTTTGAAATAAATAATGTACACTTACTAGAAACAGCCCATGGATATATCGATGTGATGGAGGCGGCGGTAACATTTTGCGTTAAAGACGGCTCATGTGTTCGATCTAATATATCCCATACATCTACATTACCATCTTGTTTAGCGATATAGAATACACCGGGACGAGATGGACTCCATCTACCTGCTGTTAGCTTTTTATGTGACGCTGATGATGCCAGCAATGGTCCATACTGTGAACAAATAACACAAGATGTTAAATTATATACCTTGGAAACATTACAGTATTTTTGTACGAGTATGTGCCTGGTGTCTTGTATGCAGCCAGTCGTGCGATAATCACTAAAATATCCATCACATCAATGCAAGGCAGGTAAATATTTGATTTAAAACACCGTAAAATCCAGAATAAACTTGCAGTCGTTTGGCTCATATGTGAGACGGTGGTGACCGTACACGTCCATGAACTAACTTTGAACGAGCTTACAAGCTGCTCTCATAATCAGGCAGAATATCACGTTTCATCTGAAACCCACAAATCTGAATAATTTAGTAACATACCTCTACTCCCTCTTTCCATATTGTAAAATTCCATCCACCGACACACAAAATGATGTCCTTGAAGAATGGTGATCTTTGTAATGTATTAATGCTACTATCGTGTAATAGTTTGCACCAATCTGGTCTAACAGCTGCAAATATATCATACAAACATTTATAGTTGATTTTAATTGTAAATAGTCACTGAGATCCTGTCGAGAGTGAGAAATGTCATGGCGTCCACTGTTCACCTGACCTATGTAACCATGGTAATTAGAACCGTGAACGCGATAGTTGTAGAAAATGAAACGCTTTTTGGAGGACAAAAACAAGTCTGGTTGCTCTTATAAAGAATGGAATATAAAAACAGTTAGATGACCAGATATATTTGGGTTTTATCAACACATGATAAATAACACAGGAATCTGATGATGTATGTTATAATGATAGCCTACTACAGTAAACCATTTCTAAAATGAAGTGTATAATTATAACTTACGTGCTAGTTTACCAGAATCAGGATCCTTGTCATATTTCCAATCACAATAAACCAACTCACCATCCTAATCAACACAAAGTTAAACAATTAAACTACCACATTAACTCTTACTATTAGAAGCGCATATAAAAATTGCATATAATTTTTTTTAACCATAGACACACTTCTGTCATTTACTTAAAGCGCATCTGCTACTAATAGAGCAAATAGACATTATGTCAAACAAATTGTAGTACCTTTGGCAAAATTTTTACCATGGTCGGCCGCATTTGACGATGGTCACCGTGGTAGCTTGATGATTTGATGGTTGACTATGAAATGCAGTGGTCAGAGACAGCAAATGACAGTTGAAACTTCTCTGAACACAGTCAGATGATCGACTATGGTCAGAGAACCAGATGACAGTTGAATCTTCTTTGACCATGAGCAACCATGGTCAGAGAACCAGATGACAGAAGAATCTTCTTTGACTATGGATGACAATGGTCAGAGAAGATTCAACTGTCGATTGGTGACCCTGAACATGGTCCGAGAAGGTCCAACCATGGTCAGAGGAGACATGCCATCAGCTGAATAGCTTAGATGGTCTTGAACGATTGCATTATTTAATTCGTTAATTAACTGCTACATCACATGGGTTGAAATTTGTGAGCAGTTTACATATTTTAACCTCAACCAAATATATATTCCAAATACTAGTATATATGAATTGCACCACAGCCAGGGTCACCAGATTTAATAAGGTATGTGTACAATCTCAATTTGTATTGAGAGTGCTTATGTGTAGATTTAATAGAATGCAATATACGTACCTCAGTACCAACGTAGAATTTAGTCACAACATTGTCAAGTAATTTTTTGTCTTTAGCAGATCCTGTCCTCAAAGTGGAAGATAAATGCGTTGTACTTGTGTCAGGTTTCTGATCTGATTTGGAGTTATCAACTAGAAAAATAAAACAATACAATTTTTTTTATTTGTCTTTAATGTCAAGTAAAAATGCAAATGAACTACCGTAAAATTTGTATTAGAAACCGCATCCCTAATAGAAGTCACACCCATTCTTTTTGAATAATTGAGAACCAAAAATTCATCATTTCTCATATGTGTAGATGCTCTAATAGAAGCTGCATCCCCTCTGTTGCATTATAACATTTTAATAGAAGCTGCGGTTTCTAATACAGATTTTACAGTAGTATTATTAACGACTGAACTAAATGCAGTACTTACGTATGCTTCTGTCTCCTTGTTTTTCCCGAATGCTGATTCTAGTTGGTCCATATTCACCACTACCTCCATCTAACCGTGCAAGTGGAAGCTGTGTGTATAACAACATATCAGTAACTATTCATGCACTATGATATCACTGCACCAATATAATACTGAGAAATCTACAGGTACTGGCATCAATGCAACCAAAGTTGTAATAGTTGTATACATGTCATATTAATGAAAGACAATCAGTATTACCATAAAATCTGTATTAGAAGCCGCATCTCTAATATAAGTCACACCGATACTTTTTGAATAATTGAGAATCAAAAATTCAGGTGTAGATACTCTAATAGAAGCCGCATCACCTCTGTTGAATTGTACCATTTTAATAGAAGCTGCAGCTTCTAATACAGATTTTACAGTACTGTTTCCCGTATCATTTGAATTTGAAAATGAGGCGATGAGGCATTTT